ACCTTAGATTGATATTCCCACAAAACCATTCTGGTTTTTTAATATCCATACAATCATAAAGTTGAATATTTTTCGTTATTCAGGAACATAACAAACATCCACACTATATTCACAGCGATTGAGAAATACCCAAATATATGTCGTAGAGCTACCAGCAAACCTAAAACCTGCAGAAAAACTAGAAATTTACAATATTTTTCTTTTTTCACTGAGTACATATCCTGGGTTATATTTATATTAGACGTTATTTGAATCACAAAACATATACACTGATTTGATTAACAGCTGATTATCTCCTGATATTTTAAAACTAATCATATCGACAAGTGACACATAATTCTGTGGGATCCGTCAACACTTCGTCCCAGTGGAGCAAACTCTGCCACCTGTCGAAATAAACTTTATGAATTCCAAGTCTTATTTTTGTTTTGCTGTGCCTGCTTAGATATTCAAATACGGCCAGGAATTATTAGCGCCCGGCTATTTTAGGCCTTCAATAACTCCTTATTTTGTTTTTTCCACGCATTCATGGTAGAAAGAAAAATATTTCATCGAATACGCCCATCACTACTTCGACAGATTGCAGAATGATGTCAAGGTGACAATAGTTATGTAACAGTTGTTTTGTTTTTTGTCTGAAATAGGTAAGTAGGCTTTGTGTATTCATTTTTATTTTTATAGCGTTTCCAGAATTTCATATTTCGAAACGATGTCAAGGGCCGGCAGGGGAAAACATTTCTCTGAGAACTGAAAATCATTAAACGCGCTGTTTTCAGTCTATTTTATGCTATCCCTTGGGGAAGTACAGAATGAAGAAAAGACTACAGTGTTCAGTGGCCACTCAGTGACTCAGTGCTCGTCTGTAATGATAATATTCAAATACTACTAAACACCTAAATAGCTTTCTGGCCTTTCAATTTCGAAGCTATCAGTCCTCGCTTAGAGATGGTAGCACAGTTAAGGATAGACTCGGATGTTTATGATTCCTCTCGATATTGATATATCGTCATGAAACCATCGATGCGTAAAGATCGATGTTCTACGTCCGATGAATCGATGTTTTCGATACACCAATGTATCGTCTATCATCGCCATCCCTATATTGTATCCCCACCAGTCACCAGTCAAAAACCTTAACCACCAATATTTTATCACTATTTATAATTCTTTTTAGCTTTTGTTTTTCAGTAATTACTAATAATTTTAGGTCTATGTCTACAGTAATTGCATTATGCATCTCGGAGATGTAGGGATTAACATGTTTTACACATATCGGTGTTTTAGGATGGGGACGACATACTGTTTTGATTGCTTTGAAGAAATTCATTAACCCATGAATTTATAACAAGTGACCACTATTATGATGTAAAGAGAGATGAGGAATTGGTTGGAATACATTTTATATTCTATTTTCTTGCAAATCCGCACAATTCAACATGTGTAGCTATAATGATCACATATACACACAGTATATTGAACTTAACAAATTTCGAGATTGCCATGAATTAACAAACGACCAAACCTGCTGCCAAATTTAACAGCTAGAAAATCGACCTATTATTTCTCCCATTCCCATTTGCTGAGGGGATAACGGATAGTCAAATGTACACCTATAACATAAATCAAAATACATGAAAGTTGTCCTGTTTTCTCTGTACAAAAGCATCATGTTGGAATCAAAAAGTGGTCTTGTTTATAATATAGTCGAATTTTCACGATTTTATTCAACATTTTAATAGAAATCACTGATATTCTGAAACCTTTGACAGCTTCCGTCAAATTGCATTTCGATAAGGTATTTTCCTATTGGTCCACAATATTAATGTTGGTGAAATCGGCCCTTAGACTATTATTTATTTTTCCTTTCTGTAGTTCGATTTATCAATTAGTTTTTTGTGGACATATGGTATTGAAATGTCTTACGAATCATTTCGTAATCTAATCATTTCATTCAAAGCTTCTCTGTTGCATGGGGTGTTCGCTGTGAACTTAGAGCAATCAAGTTGTTCAATCCGAATACCGTCTAAAGATCTTACACGACAAGCGCTACGTAAGCTTGTCCGGCGGCAAACAGTCGCGAGCCTAGATAAATTATTGCGTGATCGACTGTACAACCTTGCATCTTGTGGACAGTAGAAGACCAACTCAGGATTAATGGCAGCACTCGCAATGAACATGAACAGAAGGTCTATAACGGAATTTATCAATCCAGGCGGTCCTAATATGGATAATTTAAAACTGTTATCAAATTATAGCATTGTCATCGGTCCTTGATACGTGTGCGAAGTTTCAATTTAATCAAACTTCTAGAAATTGAAAACTATGCTCGCTGGTTCCAATTTTCTGGATTTAGCATGATACAAGTCCGTCCCTGTTTGTAAAAAAGCTTCAAAACTATCTGCAATCAATCAATATTTTTTGGCCAGGAATCGTGTAGAGAGGCTTGTCCACAACGTAACGAGGAGCTTATCCGACTTTATCTGTCGTCAGCGTTCCAATTTTTTCCACAGCAGCCCTGCTGACGGTAGCGATAGTAAGAAAAAGAGGAGGATCGATATTCCCAGTTTATATTCTGGACATTCTGGACACTCTCAGTAATTAAAATCGCTGATGTTTGAAAAAAAATTGGCACGGCAATTTTTTTTAAAATACACAACGTGAACATGTCTCGGTAAATGACATTCTTAGAGTGCAAATTATACGAACGACAATTGAAGAGCAAACATACAAAAGCCGATAAATCCACTTTTTACGATTTTCTAGAGGTTTTCGCCGTTCTTCTCAGAACCACAAAAAATTGATTTATCGGTTTTTGCATTTTTGCTCTTCAATTATTTCAAGGTATCTGATCTAGCATTGAACGCACTGTAGAGACCTACATTCACTGTTACTACACTGCAGTCATCATTCTTGGCGATTACGTCATCAACGCCACATGAAATAAGTAAATAGATCGAGTCTCCGTACCATGGGCGGAACACTGCGCAGACGTATCTTCAGCGCATCTGCTACTCTCTCCAGTACGCATGAAGTGGGTAACAGGGGACCGCTGTTTCCATTCTCTTCCTGGAAATACTATAATAAATTTAGCACGTACTGTCGGCCTTCTCCATTGATCGTATTTCCGGGCATTGTACAATTTTATATTGAAGATTGATAACAGGACACCTCGAGTTGCACGCCGATGTCAAGTAAGCTGTCACTCTGACAAATATGATTGAAGGGCACTCATACGTAATGACAAAGTTTTCGAGACGGAGACACACAACTAAAAAACGTATGTCTTTGAGCTTACCGAACAAATGTTCACACACAGGGGTAGGTTGCATGTGTATGTATGAGGGATTTTGGTAGTCTTACTTTGACCCGCCAAGAACGGTGACTACAACTATATCATCAGTTCGACGTTTGATCATTTTATTTTTCAAGCGGTATATTTCTGTAAAACCATGCATGCCGCCTCCAAATAGAGCAACGCGGACAATTTTGAAGTGACTCAATATTCGGTCATACATTCTGCCTTATGCTGAACAAATCCGCACAGGTATTATGTGAAACACCTAAGAAACGTCAAAAAAACTATGAAAAAACATCTTGGAGACTAGGTAGTCTTTAGGGTGCAAACAGTAATTCCACATTTGCCCACTAGAATCGTTGTGAGCGTCCATCTATAGAGGTATAGCTCAACTACACGCGCTGTTGGTTGCATCTGTTTTGTGAAGCCGAGTAGTCTATAGTTTTCAACTTTGGGAAGAAAGTTGTTTGAATAGCAAGGTGGCATCTGGATGATTGTGTGTATTGGTCTGAAAGTTTATAAAATCAGAGATATTTGCTGTGTGAGAAAATCATTACTGAATATGCTGCCAATGAAGTATATCTATTAGCTGCGCCCTACGGGTTCAAAGTTATAAATTACGATTTTTCACGTTTTTTTCTGTTTTCAAAAACTTTGAGGAGAATTACGGGAAATCATCACCGCGCCCGCGTTGTGTGTAATTACTGTTAGCATGTATATGACTTGTAATTCGACAGTGTACAGTGAATATAATCATTTCTTATCTCTCTCGTTTTTTAATTTCAGCAAATTTGCGTATGTAATTTCCACAATGGATAAGAACTAAACAATGAGCCGTATTCATAAAAAAGAAGCATATCATCGGAAGCATAAGGTAAAAGTATAAGGCTTCGGAGAAAGCTGTAACGGTTTCACCGTCCGATCGTATTTATTAAATCACTTCTCGATTATCATTTCATTAATCCCATCTCTAGCTTTTTTGCTTGGAAAATTTTCCGCTTGGAGCGCTTGATGCGGAGTTCCTGATCTGCGATCTTCCTCGCGCTTCCTTTTCACCTGAGCCGCCGATCGAACAACGGCTAGAAATTTCTTCTCAGTAGCACAAGGTTATATAGCACCATGTGCTAGATTTCTAGAATGTGTGTCCGTATAGGACAAAATGGTGAGTTTTATAATACTATACAGTTTTATTTCTGGATCAGCCTGTAGTTTATAGATAATCGATATGTAAGTGATTTATTTCTTGTACGATTTTAAAATATCCATCGAACGTCATTTTCGACTACTTCGATCATTCGCCATAACTTTAATCAAATCGAGGTGGAAATCGATCCACATCGATTTTACCTCTGTGCGCGTATATATATTCATAGTTCAGTGAAATTATAAGTACGTTGATTATGAATATTCGATGATTATGTTTTTATATCAGAAGCATGTGGAGAAATTTTTGATGACCACCATCTTGTTCTACGCTTTTTTTGCTATTTCATGATTTTATTTTATGAAAGGCATTTCCAATTTTCGGTTTGATTTTATCAAACTATATAATGTAATTCTAATCTAGAAAATCGTTGGTTCTCTTTTGAGGCAGACTGAGATTGGAAATGCCTTGGCCATTAGGGCACGTTGCTAATGCACACGGTTCTTTTTCAGATTGGGGCCACCCCCTTTCTCTTTCCCTTTCACTTTGCCTAGCCTTGGCCAATATTTTCACCCATGCATGTACCTTGGCAGCGCCATCGCCTTTAACTTCGCCTACAACTGGTTGTGAAGCCACTATATGGAGGTCACCCCTCATAACTGGGACCTCTCCTTCAAACCCCTGGCCATCCTGGCTTCAGTCGAGTCAAAATGGACCAGCAAAAGATAAGTCGATAGCGTTAAAAACTTATTTTGTTATTTTTGTAAAATTATAATGTAATGAAAATGCCTTTTTTTTTTTGTTAAATAAAATCTGTTAAATTTTTGTGTTCTGTTTGTTCTTCTATCCTCTAGCCATGCCATGGTCGACACACAGCTACACGCCTGTAGATGTCTTCATGCCACCGACTGAGCTACCGGAAGCTAATGTTAACCCCCTTTCTGTGATTGTGCAGAAAAGTTGGAATCTTCATTGCATTCCATCTTTTCTGGACTTTTTGCGGAAAGGAAGCGTTACATAAATTGGCACCCGCAACGTGAGGCTTCGATAGGTGTTTGGCTTTGTCGACAAGTGGTTTGCTAGTGGAAGATTGGCAAACAGAACATAGTTTTCAAAATTCTTTACAATCTTTGGCAGCATTTCTATTTTTAATTGCTTTTGGTACTCAAATTTCTTATTCTTTAATCATCCTTACTTTTGCTTAATGTTTAAATTTTTTATCAGAAGATTAAAATTTTTCCACCTGTTTATTTCATAGGTATACTTTTAAATTGTCTTGTTTAGTAGTCAGCGAGATCATTGCCAGAATTTTTTTTCTCACATACTACTACAGTTTTTATTTACTGCTGGGGACAGTTATAACTTTTTTCTCATTGTACTTTTGAGATTGATGATATTTTGATATTTTTTTGTTGTTGAATATTGATAGTCTGGGGACTTTAGGTTTCCCAGCATTTTTGTCGAATATCATCAAACTTTTGATTGAGGTTGTGACTATTGTTGTTGATAGTTTACATATTCTTATATGCTTTTCATTTTTGATCACTAACCTCTTAGTTTTTGAAAGTATTTCTTCATGTGCAGTTTTTTTGATTTCTTGAGACTTTTCATGTATGCATATATAGCCTAATTGTTGGATCTCTGGTGTACTGATATAGCTCTCATGATGTTTGGTACGTAGGAAATTTACTTTCAAAATTATTTTTGCCTTCCCCAAATGTTTTTACTTTTTGAATTTTTGACTGTACTTGAACTTTTGATCAGTTGTTTTCATTCTGATGGCAATAATCTACTGACTAGAGTTATCTGGAGTAAATCATTTTGCGATTTATCCATTTGTCTGAATTGTATGAAATTGATATTCATAATTTTCCGTATATTTTGGCGGTTTACTTTTTTTCAAGTATTGACACTTGGACAGTGCGTTGATACTTACCTTTTTTTTTCAAGAAACAAATGATGTTTTTCTTGACTATATTTTTGCTACTTTTCAATGGGGGGTGACTCCTAAATCATTTTTACCTATACAAAGACACACATACTCATTTATGGTAACTAAATGTCAACTTGTTGTTTAAATATATAGTATACGTTCCTCAGTAACTATTGTAGTAATTTTGTCTCTTGTTTGGAGCATAAGTTTTCATAATTTTAATGTTTTATAGTTTTATCTGGCATATTCTTTGGGGGAAATTAGAACATTAGTGTCTGATTTTCCACTGGATTAACAGGACTTGAACGTCTCTGTACTTTTTTAATGTATGACAGATATAAAATAATTTTTTTTTAAGATTCGGCTGCTCCTGTTTTTGTATTGAAACTGTTTGTTTGTATTGTTAGTTTTTTATAGTGTTTTGGATCCTTTTATATTTCCGCTCAATCGAAGGGGGCGAGTTTTTCGATCTGTACATTGGAGCGAGTAGGTTTTCCTATATTCATTTCCTAGTACAGATGCGAACGGATAAGAATTTCCTTTGATAATTGCTAAGCTAATTTACTGTAAAAGGCAGTTGAATGTTTACTTTGGACATTTAACATCGTTGATCCTTCAACCTTTTGAAACATTACAATTTGTCCAATACTCATATTTCCGCTCAATCGAAGGGGGCGAGTTTTTCTGTCTGTACATTGGAGCGAGTAGGTTTTCCTATGTTTATTTCCTAGTACAGATGCGAACGGAGAAGAATTTCCTTTGATAATGAATAAACTTATTTGCTGTAAGAGGCAGCTGATTGTTTACTTTGGACATTTAACATCGTTGATCCTTCAACCTTTTGAAATATTACAATCAGTCCAATACTAATATTTCCGCTCAATCGAAGGGGGCGAGTTTTTCGATCTGTACATTGGAGCGAGTAGGTTTTCCTATATTTATTTCCTAGTACAGATGCGAACGGAGAAGAATTTCCTTTGATAATGAATAAACTTATTTGCTGTAAGAGGCAGCTGATTGTTTACTTTGGACATTTGTCATCGTTGTTCTTTCAACCTTTTGAACTATTACGTCAGTCCACCGTTTACAAAATTTACAAGTCATGATTATTTTTCTGATTCCAATTTAATGTGTATACTTCATCTTTTAAATATTTCATTTTTCTGAGTGTACTCAAAATTTAAATTGCATTCCCGATCTAAATCATGTGACAAATACTGTGTATAATATTTCATAATGTTTTTATGCGTATATTTTCTGAATTTCCTTTACATACTTACGTACTTCTATTTTTGAAGTCTATTGATAGTATCCTCTTTTTGAATTCATTATAACTTTCTTCGAGAGCACAGACTTACATTGATTTTTGGTTCAAACTTTTGATGTTTGTTTACATATTTTTGAGTGGTTTTGAACTTTGACAGTATTTTGTAGTCTGGATAGTTACATAGATTCGTTGCGATGTATGCCTTGAGGGTCTTGTACTATCCACAGTTTCTTTAATTGAAAGTGTTTTCTTCATATGCATTTTATTTTCTTCTTGAGACTTGTCATATATGCTTTCCGCCTAGTTGCAAATCTGTGCGTATTGATAAACTCTTGAAACCTCTGGCGTATAAGTAAAACTCACTTTTGATATAGTTATTTATGTCTCAGTTCAATTCAATCAGTTCAATTTGATTTGAAGTAATTGTCAATTCCTTCTTGAGATTTTTCATATATGCTTTCAGCCTTTGTGCACATTTGTGCGTATTGCTAAGTCTTGAGCTTGGTTGCGACATTGCTTTCATGTTTCGCTATAGATTTTGAAATATCTGGTGATTTTGCTTTTGCATTATTGCATTTGTTTTGATAGTCTGCTCTCATATTTTTTTTTCCGACTTCTTATTTCTTTCAATTTCTGTCTTGACTTGAAGTAATCGCCCATTCTAATAGATTCAGTATAGTAATTCTCTTCTCATATTTTACACTGGTAAATTATTATAGTTTTTCTAATCTTGTAATATTTCATATTTGAACTTAACTTTCATTTTACAATGATATGGTTATTTTCAGTGTAGACTTTGAAGTGCGCTGATGATATCAGTGATCTACGTGAGAATATTCCATAGACTATAGACATTCTTGTCTAGGGCTATGGAGTGCACCTATGGTGACCCTAGAAAGTTGTCTTTGTCTCATATTTTTGCTTTAAATCAAAATTCGAATTCTTACCTATCATATTTATTTCTATTTCTTGTTCACTAGATTGTTTTTTTATAACTCCAATTTTGCACCTACATATATCGTAGTCTTTTGCATACAATTTTTGCTTGCGGCATTACTCTCATGTATCATGATTTAATAAAATATCTTGTGATTTTCGTTTCGCTATTTTGCATTTTACATATGCTCACTTCGTTTCTCATTTATTACTCATGAAACTTTTAATATTTTGCTTACTTTTAAATTTTTTTGAGAACCCTTTATAAAATCATGCTCATATAGCTTTAATATTTCCTTTCACTTTATGATTTTAACACTATTAGATTTACAGTTGCACTTGTGTTGCACTTAGTTTTTTTTGGAAATTTATTTTGCTCTTTTCTATATTGTACTTCAAATTTTTTTTTTTGGTCTGGTTCTTATGTTGTCACATGACCCGAAAATTTTGATTGAACTTACTCTTGAATTTTAGTTCATTGATTGAACTTAAGCTATATTTTGACTTTGAAAATCTTACTTCAATATTTCATGAATGTCCCTTATATACTTTAATTCTCTGAAAATATTTTGAATTATTTTGTAGTCTTACAGACTGCTGGCGCCCGACAATTTTTTTGTGGAATCAGAACTGCACTTAGTTAACATTTTTTTTGATTAAAATACCTTCGTGATCAAGTTTTCATTGGTTTAGTACTTGTAAATTGTTTTGTTATATGACTTGAATTCCTAATGGAATTTGTTAATTTCTTTTGATTTTCATATTTTGAAAATAGTAATGCACTTTTTTTATATTGGATATTGGTTTAAAATATCACTGTAGATGATATTCTTTTTGGGTTTGGAGTATTGCGAGATAATCTGGCAATTATTGTTTTGAGAAAGATTATTATTTTTTTTAGTACCTCTTATGGTTTAGGTACTTACTTAGTTTTGAAGTTTTTAGTAGTCAGTCGTGCATTTTGGATGCCATTGTGATTCATGCTTGGACTACTGCTGAAACTTTTGGTTTATTATTTTTCTCGTCTTAGGTATGACGATGTTTTATGTTTTGGGTTTTTCATCATATGATGATAGTTTTTTTTAGGTGCAACTTCACTGTACTTTTCAGCGAGTTGGTGCTATAACCATCCCTCTTGTTTGGTAGACTTGAGGCTATCCCTTTTTCTTCCAATTCTCTTCTAACATTTTTGTTTCTACCTTACTTTTACTACTTGTTATCTGGTCGAATGGTTGTACATTTGACCTTCCGTGATAACTTTCAATTTCCTAGTAAAAAAAAAAAAAAATTCTTAAATGCTTCTTCGATTTTTTTTTTTTTTGGTTAAGTTGGGGCGAGTGTAACGGTTTCACCGTCCGATCGTATTTATTAAATCACTTCTCGATTATCATTTCATTAATCCCATCTCTAGCTTTTTTGCTTGGAAAATTTTCCGCTTGGAGCGCTTGATGCGGAGTTCCTGATCTGCGATCTTCCTCGCGCTTCCTTTTCACCTGAGCCGCCGATCGAACAACGGCTAGAAATTTCTTCTCAGTAGCACAAGGTTATATAGCACCATGTGCTAGATTTCTAGAATGTGTGTCCGTATAGGACAAAAATGGTGAGTTTTATAATACTATACAGTTTTATTTCTGGATCAGCCTGTAGTTTATAGATAATCGATATGTAAGTGATTTATTTCTTGTACGATTTTAAAATATCCATCGAACGTCATTTTCGACTACTTCGATCATTCGCCATAACTTTAATCAAATCGAGGTGGAAATCGATCCACATCGATTTTACCTCTGTGCGCGTATATATATTCATAGTTCAGTGAAATTATAAGTACGTTGATTATGAATATTCGATGATTATGTTTTTATATCAGAAGCATGTGGAGAAATTTTTGATGACCACCATCTTGTTCTACGCTTTTTTTGCTATTTCATGATTTTATTTTATGAAAGGCATTTCCAATTTTCGGTTTGATTTTATCAAACTATATAATGTAATTCTAATCTAGAAAATCGTTGGTTCTCTTTTGAGGCAGACTGAGATTGGAAATGCCTTGGCCATTAGGGCACGTTGCTAATGCACACGGTTCTTTTTCAGATTGGGGCCACCCCCTTTCTCTTTCCCTTTCACTTTGCCTAGCCTTGGCCAATATTTTCACCCATGCATGTACCTTGGCAGCGCCATCGCCTTTAACTTCGCCTACAACTGGTTGTGAAGCCACTATATGGAGGTCACCCCTCATAACTGGGACCTCTCCTTCAAACCCCTGGCCATCCTGGCTTCAGTCGAGTCAAAATGGACCAGCAAAAGATAAGTCGATAGCGTTAAAAACTTATTTTGTTATTTTTGTAAAATTATAATGTAATGAAAATGCCTTTTTTTTTTTGTTAAATAAAATCTGTTAAATTTTTGTGTTCTGTTTGTTCTTCTATCCTCTAGCCATGCCATGGTCGACACACAGCTACACGCCTGTAGATGTCTTCATGCCACCGACTGAGCTACCGGAAGCTAATGTTAACCCCCTTTCTGTGATTGTGCAGAAAAGTTGGAATCTTCATTGCATTCCATCTTTTCTGGACTTTTTCTTTTCATACTGATTGCCTTATACTCGCGAGGATTTCCTACAAGAAGAAGTAAAAGGTTGACTGGTATTTGTATCTTGAGCGACATGGCCTGACTTGTTCCAGCATGTAGTTGACGTGAGAGTTCGTTCACTCAGCATCACTGACAGTTGTACTTCAGAGCTTACACAGACCATGTCATCCTCAAGTGACGAGGAAACTACAGAAAATAATAGCAACGGCCTGCAGTTCATCGCAGATGAAATTGCCATTGCTCCCATTATTTTGCAAAAGTCACAAGTTCGAAAAATAAAAATGAGATAGGACGATGCCTTGAAGAATATGTTGAAAAAATACGAATCTACATTCGGTAAACCATTAGATACTAAAGACTTAATAAAAAAAATCAACAACACGACATCAAGATTGAAGACAAAGGCATCTAAAAAAAACTGGTAATAAAGCAAATTAAAATATTAGATCGGGAAAGAAAGTTACTGAAAGCTATGGAAGGTGACTGTAAGCCTACAATTGGGAAAATTAGAGGTACCATTCAGGTTGGTAGTGTTCAAGAAGAAGGAAGTGAACTATATACCCAGCTCAGTGAGCAAACAGTATTACGGCGCCAGCAATTCAGAAGACATTGTCACCAAAAAGAAAATTAGCAACAGAGAAATACGAAACTGAGAAAACCAAAGGGTTAACTACAAAACAACTGCAACGTCTAGTGCTATTATGGCAGTATCAAAAAGTATTTTACAACAAGAGTATGTATTATAAAATGAAACTAGAAATGATGTAGTGTCAGAAGCCACCTGTAACTTATGATGTTCACAAAAATAAAACTTATTATAACTTATAAATACACTTTGATCAGTAAAACTATTTATTACAATACTGAAGTTTCTTCTTATTATATATATATATATATCTTATTTGACCTAGTTTTCGGAGAGAAAGTTCGTCATTCTCATGATTTCCTTAATCTTCATCTGGGTCTTGTTCAATTAAGTCAAAGTCAGGATCGCCCAAGCTCTTCGCAACATTATGGAGTACAATACAAGCAATACTTATTTTCAGCACATTTTCCAACTTTACGCGGCAAACATACTGTAGGATCAATTATAACTCCTTTTTGTTTTAAAAGCTTATTATGATTTATTTCTGCACTTGGAGCAGGATTTCTGAAGGGAGTCATAAGGCATGGCTCAATACCATAACCGTCATCGCCAAGTAGTACATTTGCTTTATTTATTAGTTGTGATCTAGCCTGTGAATTTCTCCATATTCTGGAATCATGCACTGATCCAGTCCAACTGACATCAACACTTGTGAACATCTCTCTGGCATCACAAGTGGCTTGCACATTTAAAGTAGGTTTCCCTTTCGGTTGATATACTCATCTACACAGCGATTTGATTTTAGGATTCCTATATGTGTACAATCAGTTACACCAATTGCTGTCGGAAATTTATACATGCTTTGCCATATCCGCTTGGCCTCCATCAGTTCATGGTTGGTAGTTGGAAACTTGATCCATTCGTTCGACTGTGCAACTATGCTGTTCACAACTCTATCCACAGTCCGAGATACCGTTGCTTGACTAACACCAAGTTCCTGACCAATACCTTGTTGATATCCAGGGTTACCGAGATAGCGAAGACATATCTTCATTTTATGAATACATGAAAGTGCTCCTCCTCGAGTTTCCTCATTCTCAACTAAAAATCTGTCCACAAGCCATTGTACATTTGCCTCGTCGAACCGATATAATTTTTTGAAGTCACGACCAAGTGAAGGTAAACGAGGTTTGTACGTTTTAACATCCCTAACATCCACAATTTCCGCCATCATCGTTTGACCACCTTTCGTTACGAAGTTGAGTCTGCTATTGACCACACCTAGCATTTTTGAAGGACATGCTTCCTATGCCAAGTATAAGGTGAAGAATACATTATGTCACTGCTTTGAAGGATATGCTTACACTTAAAAAGCAAAAGCATTTACTTCAAATTATTATAAATACCATCTGGAGGATTTCCTTCAAAAATAGGATTAGGATATGCTTTGTTTTATGAATACGGCTTATTGATAACTGAAGCCTGATGACGTTTAGGCAACACGTACAACTACAAAACGAGTTCACAACGTGTCCATCAGCTAGTGATAAGTTAACATCTGGTAGAAAAACCTACATAATATCACGAAAAAACAATATAATGTCAAACAAATCGATATAAAATCTATATAAATGTCATACTCACAACAACAGTCCGAATAGATCCCAATAATCTATTGAGTACACAGTCAACGTTCACGAAACCAAAATGACATAAAGAAATGCTCCAATAATTAGCTTAGGTAGGTTTGACGAGAAGAAAAGATAAACAGGTTTATCAAAATGGCGACTTGAGCTCAGAACGCCTAGACAATTATCTAATGGTATTGCAGACGTTTCCGCAAGAAAATATTACGACTACTTTCTGAAGTTGAATGGCAAAGCAAAAAGCTGCATATTTCTACAAATTCTGCAGCATTCCCCCATCGTCGAGAGATCACCGCACCGCGCCGGACAAAATACGTCACCGCAATCACCACAGCCGTCTGGGAGCCAGATAGGTTGCGGCAAGCGGTGACGCTACGTGGCAAAGCAGCGTGAGTTAACCAGCTCACTTCCCAGGCGACGACGACAGGGATTATTTTTGTCCGTTCAGCCCGAGTACGCAGCGTGATACAGAATCCACCAGTCTATGACGTCATCCTCCAACCGAGTACATTATCTCATGGAGATTGCTCGTTAGAGGCATCAATGGAGAAATAGCTCGTTCATAAGGTCGTATAAAATGTTCTTCGTGTACTGTGATGAGATAGTGAGATCCAAAAAAATAAGTAACGTGACATAAATGCCGCCAATAATGACGTCATACACCGTCAGGTATTGCATCTCAAGGATATTGCCCTGTAGCGGCATATCAATGGAAAATAGCTTGAAATGTTCTTTCATATACTGCGATACGGATGCTTGAGTAATCGCCGACAATTTATATTCTTTAAAGCTTCATGATACTCACAGTTAGTAGCTGCTCACGGGGTACCGCACGGCTCGGTATTAGGACCTATTTCATTTATAATTTACGTAAACGATATAACTAATTATAATGTGAATAATAACTTAATCCTATCAGCTGATGACACTACCTTGATGAATAACGATGCCTCTTCAACTTCATTGATATCTGACTGTGAGGCTCATAAGAATAATCTAGCAAACTGGATAGCTACTAGTAAGTTGACCATCAATGAAACGAAGTCTCAGATGATCATTTTTAGCCTGAGGCCGATACACTAAAATCGGTGAAGTTACTAGGGGTTATAGCCCAGTACATTTTTGTTTCACCACAAATGGTCAAAGTTGAGGAAACAATAACAGAAAGTCAGAAGTGTGATTCGTACACCCTACCAAGATTTGAAATGACTAATAAAAGTGCACATAACCAGTCTTTGGCAACAGAAATGGAATGGCAGTCACAGCAAACTACTCGCAATTGCTCCAGATGTCAACACGCGATTCATCCTACCTTCAGGAAGAAGGAACCAGATAATTATGTCACGTCTCCGGATAGGCCACACACTAGTGACTCACAAGCACGTCTTCGAAGGAACCGATGCCCCAGTTTGTATCAACGTGCAACCAGCGGCTCACGGTGGTTCACATCCTGATGGGAGTGCGCTACTTATCAAAATGCCAGAAGTCTCAACCACCTTTCTAATGACATCAGTGAAGTGTTACTGCATCAAACCGATAAACTTGTGAAATTTATCAAATACATTGACATGTACTTCAATACATAGATTATTGTGCCATCCACGTCGCTAATAACCATACGAGGTTGATGCGGTACTATCTGTTAAATAAAAAAAAAATAACAGAAAGTTATAAATCCCAAAATAGTCCTTATTTTATCATGGTTCCTTAATATCTTTTAACTACATTGCATTTGTAAATGATAAAGCAACTATCTAGAAGTATTTTATAGAAAAAATGAACAAAGTATAACCTTATTTGCACGTGCAGCTAAAGACCACAGATGAAAAGGTACGTTTTTTAAAAATTTAAGAAAAAATTCAATATCTCAAAAACGGTGACACTTTGATATAGGTAAGTTTTTGTTATTTGGAAGGTAAGTCCAAAGCCTACATTTTCCTTAAGTTTGTCGTGGTACATATTGGACACCCTGTATAGTACATACAGGATGTTAATGAAGTATGTAGACAAACTTTAACCATCCAATCCTTGGTCAATTTGAAGACTAAATGTTCATATGAACATGGAAACGTAACGGCTTTCTTTTCAAGCTAGAGCACTATCACTAAAGAAATACGAGTCCTGTTCCAAATATTTCTATGAATAATGAAACGTATTTATTGAACAGTTGGTATAACCTATGATCAATTTTGCATGTTTTACAAGTTGCTGAGACTCAATATGAACGTGGATGAAAATAGTATTATCCTGTATTTTTGTAAAAAAAATTATTTAGAAGGTCAATAGTTTTGACCAGTAACATTCGAATAGAACGACAACAATAGAAACGGGTACGTCATAGGTGTCTAGATAAGTGCAGTGCTTAAATATTAAAAGTATTGCGGTCAAAACAAATCAATGTCGTGCTATTTTTTCAAAAAATACTGCATAACATCCGTATCTAGGTACATGGAGGGTTTGAAAACAGCTGTAAATTATGTGATATTCACCACAGGGCACACTTAATTAATACGTTCCATTCTTTTATCATTTTTTAGAACAAT